CCCCAAAACCCCAAAACCCCAAAACCCCAGAGGTGATTAACATTTTTGAGATAAATTATTTGTATAATTTCACAGCTTTAACAAATACACTATGGAAAGTAAGGGCTTGCATTACCAAGAGACAAAAAAGTTACAGAACAAGGAGAATACCGTAGTAGGTGATGAAGAAGAGAAGAAGCAGAGGACGGACAGGCGGGGAGGAGATAATTCTAAAAGAATATATTCAAATTTTATGATGGAAAGTCTGAGAAAAAATGAGATTTGATTGGATAATTACCTTAGAGAGATGGGGAAATACCTGAAAAACTCTGCATTTGAAAGGATCCATAACATCCCAAATTTCTCAGAAGATTCAATAGAAATTGCATTATTGGGAGGGGACAAGTATAATCTCAATTTAATGCAAAACATCAATAAGCTGAAGATACCAAATTTGGCTAACTATCACATATTAAAAATAACTTATGACAAATCTTGGATTAAAAAAATTACCAAGAACGAATTTACCAGCAAGATTGGTAATGCTTTTCTAAGCAACAGGGGCGTAAACCCTATAAGACTTTTTGAAATTCCAAAAGAAATAGACCAAATCTTTCAAAGAGTTCTCAATTCAGTTGCAATAGATAGGTTCCAAATCAGCCATAGAAACTTAGTAAGAGTATTTAGTTTGTGCAGAGACAAATCAGAGTTAAGGTTCTTTGACTGTATAATATATCTCAAAACTGTCCCTGATTTAGCAAAAGCTCTTCCAACATGCAATATACAGGAGTTAGAATTTGATAACTGAGGAGGTCCGCTCTTTGGAAACTGGGCACAGGACCCACAGCAGCTCGACAACTTAATAAACGGCTTGGCCCAGTGCGAATGTCTGATCCAGTCTTTGACCAAGCTAATAATACGCAAGAGCTTCCTTGACAAGCAGGTTGTAGTCAAAGCTGTGAAGAAATATGGGCTTAAAGATGTAGAATTGTTTGTGTAGAAGTTGAAATTGAGTAATGAGATTCAACAGGATTTTAGAAGTTAGGGGTTTTGGGGTTTTGGGGTTTTGGGGTTTTGGGG